TTTAAAATTTTGTTTTAATTAATAGCACTAGTCTTGTAATGAATTTGTAGTGCAAAACAATTATTGCATTAATTTACTTTAAAGTATGTCCCAGAATCATTATAATGTCACAACAGTGAGTTAATTGAAAAATTAATTATGTAAATAAAAGCACAGAACAATTACTCTAAATATAAATTTAAGAGGATACGGGAGGAGCTAGTTCTTCAATCATATGATTATACTAAGTGTCAAATAACTATAATCAATAATGTAAATATTTTAACATTTTGTTCTGTTTATAGACATAATAATATGTATCTAAAACATATCTTTGGAAATAAAAAATAACTCTTTTCTTGAACAAATGTTTATTTTCTTCTATCAGTACCAGTATATTAAAATAATGAAAACACACATAAATTAAAAAAAAAAACACACTGTAATGTATTTTTTCGATATATATTTATTTGAAATATTTGATATTTAGATTTTTTACGCCAAATTTAGTTTCTTGACGCTAAATTAGTCTTTTTGTCACTAAAATATTCTTCTTGTTGCCTCTTGTCGCTAATTAGTGAGACCCTTTATTACTTGTATCTAGTCCATTTGCTCCCATAACACATATGCACCCAACACGTTGGCCCCCTAGGTTTGTTCGCACCCTATTTTTAATTAAATACAGGTTGAATTATTAGATGTTTTCTGGATGGATATAGGCCTATATCAAAAATATTTATATTTTCATAAATAAAATTTTTTTAATGAAATATTATTTTGTTTGTGATTAGATGATTATTTATTAAATGTTAATTAATTATTATTACTGTTATAAATTGGTATTTGCTAAGCTTATTTGGTATTATTGTTATTAGTTTGAAAATCAAATCTGAAATGCAACACTATGAACACTGTGCCTTTAAAAAAACATGTGTGCTTTGTGGCCCAATTTAGCTCACCTGGCCCATAGGTTATTTTAGATTTTGATCTTAGTGAATTTTGGGTTTTCCCATAACAAAACATGGACAGCCATTTCTGCTTATAACAGTTTATTAATTCACAACTCCTTGAAAATGGAATGACAAAATTTCACCAAACATATATTTTTACAGGACTCAAAGCTGTGCTCTTGCCAATTTAGTTTTTGATCTGGGTGTTTTTGGGGTTTTCCAACTTCAAAGCATTGACATTATTGAAGCATCTGTATAAAACTTTTTCATGACCTTAATCCCAAATACCATTTCAGTCATTGACTTTTAAGATGAAGACTTGTGTGGCAAGTATGACTGTTTCCGAATCCTTGTTTTGGTGATTATATTTGTAATACTCTCAAAAGTGTCCATCCCCCCTAATGTGTCCCAATCCCGCAAACCCGTCTATTTTGCTAAAACGTGTCCTACAATTGTTATTCGCCGAAACGTGTCCATTTTAACAACGCCAAAACATCTGAAACCTTTTAGCGCTAATATGTCGTCTGTGACGTCAGTTATGTTGCAAATTCACTCAATGGACACGATTGAAGATGTCGGATTTCTGCCCCGTTCAAAAGAAAAACAAATAATAAAAACGGCTATCCTAGTTCAATGCAGATGCATTTTTGGCACAAGCTCGAAGATTAAAAACAATACACATTCAAAAGATAAAAATGCAAAATGGAGACTTCGTAATATTCGAATGGATGGTCAGAGGTCCAAAATGTGAATTGAAACTATTTCAAATTGCAACTTTTTTCAATTTAATGAACAAACAAAATAATAATCATATTTGTTGTGAAAGTCAAGCTGTGGAAACGTACATGGTATAAACATGATAAATGAGATGTAAAAATGAATTCATGAAAACTATCTGATACACAGTGTTCTGTCTTTGCAATTTTCAATTTGGACAGCGCTTGCACATTTTATTTGACATTCTGTTCCCATTTTCCTTAAAATCGTGGAACCCTTGTTACTGTCCTACTGTCACCTTTTTAGCTCACCTGGCCTGAAGGGCCAAGTGAGCTTTTCTCATCACTTGGCGTCCGTCGTCGGCGTAAACTTTTTACATTTTGAACTTCTTCTAGAGAACCACTGAATGGAATGAAACCAAACATGGCATGAATGTTCCTTATGAGGTGCTGACCAAGTGTTGTTACTTTGTAGCGGATCCATCATCCAAGATGGCCGCCAGCGGGGGACTTAGTTTAACATAGGACCCTATGGGAAATACATACAAATGTCTTCTTTTAGAGAACCACTGAATGGAATGAAACCAAACATGGCATGAATGTTTCTTATGAGGTGCTGATTGAGTGTTGTTACTTTGAAGCCGATCCATAATCCAAGATGGCCGCCAGCGGGGGACTTAGTTTAACATAGGACCCTATTAGAAATACATACAAATGTCTTCTTTTAGAGAACCACTGAATGGAATGAAACCAAACATGGTATGAATGTTCCTTATGAGGTGTTGACCAAGTGTTGTTACTTTAAAGCTGATCCATAATCCAAGATGGCCGCCAGCGGGGTACTTAGTTTAACATGGGACCCTATGAGAAATACATACAAATGTCTTCTTTTAGAGAACCACTGAATGGAATGAAACCAAACATGGCATGAATGTTCCTTATGAGGTGCTGACCAAGTGTTGTTACTATGAAGCTGATCCATAATCCAAGGTGGCCGCCAGCAGGGGACTTAGTTTAACATGGGACACTTAGGGAAATACATACAAATGTCTTCTTTTAGAGAACCACTGAATGCAATGAAACCAAACATGGCATGAATGTTTCTTATGATGTGCTGACCAAGTGTTGTTACTTTGAAGCCGATCCATAATCCAAGATGGCCACTAGCGGGGGACTTAGTTTAACATGGGACCCTATGGGAAATAGATACAAATGTCTTCTTTTAGAGAACCACTGAATGGAATGAAACCAAACATGGCAAGAATGTTCCTTATGAGGTGTTGACCAAGTGTTGTTACTTTAAAGCTGATCCATAATCCAAGATGGCCGCCAGCGGGGTACTTAGTTTAACATGGGACCCTATTAGAAATACATACAAATGTCTTCTTTTAGAGAACCACTGAATGGAATGAAACCAAACATGGCAAGAATGTTCTTTATGAGGTGTTGACCAAGTGTTGTTACTTTAAAGCCGATCCATAATCCAAGATGGCCGCCAGCGGGGGTACTTAGTTTAACATGGGACCCTATGAGAAATACATACAAATGTCTTCTTTTAGAGAACCACTGAATGGAATGAAACCAAACATGGCATGAATGTTCCTTATGAGGTGCTGACCAAGTGTTGTTACTATGAAGCTGATCCATAATCCAAGATGGCCGCCAGCAGGGGACTTAGTTTAACATGGGACCCTATGGGAAATACATACAAATGTCTTCTTTTAGAGAACCACTGAATGCAATGAAACCAAACATGGCATGAATGTTTCTTATGATGTGCTGACCGAGTGTTGTTACTTTGAAGCCGATCCATAATCCAAGATGGCCACCAGCGGGGGACTTAGTTTAACATGGGACCCTATGGGAAATACATACAAATGTCTTCTTTTAGAGAACCACTGAATGGAATGAAACCAAACATGGCAAGAATGTTCCTTATGAGGTGCTGACCAAGTGTTGTTACTATGAAGCTGATCCATAATTTAAGATGGCCGCCAGCGGAGGACTTAGTTTAACATAGGACCCTATGAGAAATACGTACAAATGTTTTCTTTTAGAGAACCATTGAATGGAATGAAACCAAACATGGCATGCATGTTCCTTTTGAGGTGCTGACCAAGTGTTGTTACTTTGAAGCTGATCCTTCATCCATGATGGCTGCCAGATGGAGACAAAGTTTAACAAAGGACCCTACGGACAATACATACAAATGTCTTCTTTTAGAGAACCACATACTGAATGGATTGAAACCAAACATGGCATGAATGTTCCTTATGAGGTGCTGACTAAGTTTTGTTACTTTGAAGCTGATCCTTCATCCATGATGGCCGCCAATGGGGGAACTTCCTTTAACATAAGACCCTATGGGAAATACATACAAATGCTTCTTCTAGAGGTGCACTGAATGGAATGAAACCAAAACATGGCATAAATGTTTCTTATGAGGTGTTGATTAAGTGTTGCTACTTTGTTGCCAATTTACTGTTCAAGATGGCCACCAGGATTTTTTATTAAATTACAGGATCAATATTAAACCAAATTTGGCCTCACTCATTATTAGGGTATCTGTTATGATTTTAATATATTTTTACATGATTTCCAAAACCAAAGTAGAATCAGGTGAGCGACACAGGCTCTTGAGAGCCTCTAGTTACAATAAAATAGCACCCTTTAAAATAACAATCAACGAAGAACATTTTCAATATTTTCAATATGGTCCAATATTTTTTTTCTGTGCACTAAGGTCCTTGTAATAACCTCGACTGGAATTTATTTCAAACAACATTTATCAAAACGAAACACTTTTTCATTAAGGTTAATACTTTTGGGCGTTTTTAAAATATGGATATGCGTTTATGAAAATAAAAGCTTTTTGGGTCTTTCATCAACTTATTGTGATTGGGAGTTCAGTGAAGTCGTATGACATGTTTGGGGGATCTGTCACGTTTGGGGGGATGAACACGTTTCTGATTTAATAGATCAGTCATTCTGAAGGTCCATCAGATATTGGCAAATGACTGGTAAAATTGGGTTTGGTCGGGAAAAGTTGTTACGCAACTGGACCAAATGTCTATTTAAAAATATTCAGAATTTTTTATCTAATGAATAACAAAATGACCGGTAAGAATGGTCTTTGGTCCAGTGAAGTCCCCTCATTAACTGGATAGAATGTCTGGTAAGATTTGAAAGACCCTGAGAAATATTAGATAGAGTAAAACTTTGACAAGCAATCTGCTTCATTGATGTTGCCCAACATCTGTTTTTTTCACAATTATAATAAGCTTTCATTACCAGAAGATAATAATACATGTACCTATTATGTAAATATTAATCAAATGTCTTATATTTTTTCCAGTGTAAACGATGGGTGAAGAAATTGAAGTGAAGAAATGTGGGGTTAAATTCAAGCCTCCAGCTATTGTTGTAACTTACCTACTGGTAGAAACTAGTAAATTACACAGGAGAACTATGCCTCTTCGTAATTTCAATAAAAACTCTGATGTTTCAAAAGCTGCTAGTGATTTAAGAACACATCCACGACATGGTCAGTTTGTAAAGGGTCTTCCTAAAAGTCAGTTAGAAAGACTTATTTGTATTATTCGTGACAAACTTTGTGGAATGAGCTTAGAGGCTAGTTTAGCTAGGAATGAAGAAATGCAGAAGATTGATTCTGATGAAGACTTGAACAAGGTTGACCCAGAACTTCTTGCAAGAAAGAAATCCGTAATGGAGGATACTTTTGAAAAGAATCAGAAGAAACCAGGTGATGCAGACTTTGAATATGATCTGCAAGTTGATTTTGATAACCAAATAGTAGAAACTTGTGAATGGGACTCTGAAGGATCAAATGAAGATTTTTAGTTTTGATCTTAATGATTGAAAAAAGAAAATGTCTATGCAATTGAACACTGATTATTGTCTGATAAATTAAAACTATCTTATACAAATTATAGGATTTTTAAAAACTTTAAACTGTAAACTTTAGGAGTGTTGGTTATATGGCATTCACCATGTCAGTTTTTTTAGTCCATCAAATATTTTTGTTACACATTTTTCAAGTGCAACTTAACAGAACATCTTCATATTTTAGCTTGACAGTGATGAGTTGTAACATGTGAGAGTTTTTCTAATTTGTCAGTCAAATACTTCTTTTTTTCTCATATTTCATAGTGTTTGATTTTGAAAACATTAAATCACAGACATGACAGATATAACAGGATCAATGAGAAGCTTGTAATGATCCATCTGCTGATCTGCAGAATTCAGTGTTGAAAGCTTCAATAAGAGACCAATTTATAGACTCCTGTCTATTGAATTGAATTTGACTCACTAATAAAAATAAGAACAAATGATTTATATGAACTTATAAATGTCAAAATGCTTAGAAGTTTTCGTAAATAAATTGAAATCATGTTCAGAATGATTTACCAGACATTGTTTTGGGATAATATATTATCTTATCCCTTAAAATTTCTTTTAAAATAATGTAAGGAGATGTGGTATGATTGCAATTAAGACAAGTAATCATCAGAGTTTAAATGACGTGAATATAAGCAATCATAGGTCACTATATGACCTTCAACAATGAGAAAACCAATACTATTTAGTCAGCTGTAAAAAGCCTCGACATGAAGAATGAGTAACAAATTAAGTGAGAATACTTACTGCCTAATTTGTAACAATGCAATTAACAAACAAAAAATAAAATATGACAGACATGAACCAGCAACAACCACTGAATTACAGGCTTGACTTTGGACAGGAACATAAAGAATGTGGCGGGATTTAACAATTTTGTAAGCACTCAACCCTAATTAATCTATTTGAATCAAGGAATTTGATATTGACTCACTAAAGCTTGAATGTAGCTCATCTAAATAGATGCATATATCTTAATTTTACAGTATAAAACAACTAGAGCAGCTAAATCATGTTGTACAGTAATATATTGATGTATAATTACTGATAGAATTCTCATTGCACATACATGTATATGTACATACCATGAACATAAGAAATTATAATTGAGTAATAGCTATGATTGGCTGGTTTATAGGGAGATTATATAAATGTTTCATTTACACTATATTATAACTTGTATTGTTTGTTTGTATGTCCATGAATAAGAGTACATATTAGCTGAGAAACATATCTAAAGCCTTTTTAGGATTTGATAGCTATTTACTTACATGTAGTATAAATGACATTAAGGAAAATTAGTAAGGGAAACATCATCAGTATATCAGTTACATAGATAAAGTTTAGTTCAGATTAAAAAGAAACCCTTTTTAAAAACTTAGGGGAAATAGGGTATTACTAAATACAATTTAAATTTAATTTTGCTCTTTTTGCAATGTTTAGAAGAGAAATCCAAATCACTAAAGCATTTTCAGATTTGTTAGAAAATAACTGGTAAGGTTTTGCATAAAATTATTTTTTTTATTGCACACTTTTATCTAAAATATTTTTATCCATATGTATTGCTGAACTGGTGATGCAGGTTTTTTTTCACTTAAGGTATCTATTTTCTAAAAAGTGCTCTTACAGCCCATATCTTAGAAGTAGAAAATCCTTGACAAAATCCCCTAATTTTGGACAGGTCCTTAACATGTGCAGGGTTAGCATGTAATCATATTTCATAAAATAAAAATACTTTCACCAAAATACATGTATAAATGCTAACAAATGTTCACATGTGTTCCATGTTTTTTGTCTTGCCTATTTGTTTTAATATATGAAGAAATTTATTAGAGTGATTTAGTTTATGAATATGTTGATGAAATGTAATAAGAGACATGCAACCTTTCTTGAATAGTAGTCAAACCAAATAATTATGATATCTGCAAAAACTATGTGATTATTTGGTTTTTTTCTCTCATTTTCTTTGAGGATTTTAAACTTTTTAACAGCTACAATGAAAGAATAGGAAAAAACCTTGATTATCAGTACCAAGTAGCTGTCAGAACATTTAAAAAAAAAAAATTTATTATTGGAAATATGGAGATTAGACAAACTTGCAGACTTTTAAGTGTATTATATTTTATCTTCCAATAAGTGTATAAGTGGTGACATTTGTTATGTTGTAGTCACTTTATATGACATTTCCATGGAAGATTCTTAATCTACTGTTATGTTTTTACATTTGATGCATATTTTGTTTTATCTGAGAGGTGGAAGAAAGTTTTCTATATGAGTATGTTTTATTATTGTATTATGAAGCAGCTTATGTTTTACTACACAATAAGTTGTACATATGATAAACTATCATATTTATAAATTAAAGGCTATACAAACATTTTTGCTTATGAATTATTTTTGGTCATGTAACTCACAAAGACCAAATCATTCCAAATACTATTGTGAATAACAGGTAGGAAGGATTGATTGATTGATAATTGTTTGCTTAATGTCCAGTGGCAAGGAAGTTGGGAAAAAAAGTGCCTGTTCTGTGTAATCCAGTCTTATAGTTTTCAACACTGAAAATATTTCTACTTCGAGCTTTTAAACTTTGTACTATATTTGTACATATGTATAGACATTGAAGATATATACACTCATAGTCTGTGTACACATTTGGATAAGTTTTGCAGATTTTTGAGATGGTGAAACATTGTCTAGTTTTAGCAGCAATCTATAAGGATGGTACATTTATCGAATTCTTCTTACAGTTTTGAAGACAGTCTTCAAACTTTCTAGAAACACAATGCTACAGATATAAGTCTTGTCTTAACGACGAATAATATCAATTAAACACTTATTTCCAATTCTGAAGTGATCTTTTTTGTTCTTGTCACATTCTGTCAAAATACACAACCGGACAAATAATGCTATGAATGATCTGACCTTACATGAAAACAATGGCAAAAGAGACAACATTACATCAACAAGAAACTATAAAAAGGTAAAAGGACAGGTATTCACAATGTTTAACTCCAATTGTTTATTTCTTTTGTCTATTTTGTTATGAATGTTGCCTATTAATCTCCTGGCTGGGTCAAACCAGTCACTGTTAAACTATTCTTTGCTGCTTCTCTACCAAACAACAGGCATTTAGGAGCATTACAGAATTAAGACCTGTCATCTCCGAGTTAAAATAATGTTTCTTGAGTAGGTGAAATGTCTTTTTGCGGACTATTACTATGTGAGTTGGCATGTTTATAAACCCAAATAGGCATGTCAGTCTAGTACAAAGGAGGTTATATTCATATTGCATTACTATGCTATCGCACTTTATGTGCATGCAATGTTTTCTGCTGGATGTTAAGAAGACATCCATTTTTGAATTAATTATTCTAAATCCAGGTTTTTGTCGAGCCTGCGACTTTTGTTGCAGAAAGCTCGACATAGGGATAGTGATTCGGCGGCAGTAGCGTTAACATATTTCTTAAAAGCTTAATATTTCAGAAGGTAGAAGACCTGGATGCTTCATACTTTGTATATAGATGCCTTATGATATGAAGTTTCCGTCTGTCATATGTCCATTGTCCTTGACCTCATTTTCATTGTTCAGTGAGTACTTGGAAAAAAAGTTTAGATTTTTTGTAATGTTAATTTCTGTCTTATGAGTAATAGGATAACTATATTTGGTATGTGCGTACCTTGCAAGGTCCTCATGCCTGTCAGACAGTTTTCACTTGACCTCGACCTCATTTCATGGATCAGTGAACGAGGTTAAGTTTTCATGGTCAAGTCCATATCTCAGATACTATAAGCAATAAGGTGCACATGTCCAACTGGCAGGTGTCATCTGACCTTGACCTCATTTTCATGGTCCAGTGGTCAAAGTTAAGTTTTTGTGTTTTGGTCTGTTTTTCTAATACTGTATGCAATAGGTCAACTTTATTTGGTGTATGGAAATATTTATTGATGTACATGTCAGTCTGGCAGGTTTTATTTGACCTTGACCTCATTTTCATGGTTTATTGCTCAGTGTTAAGTTTTTGTGTTTTGGTCTGTTTTTCTTAAACTTTAAGCAATAGGTCAACTATATTTGGTGTATGGAATGATTGTAAGGTGTATATCATCTGACCTTCACCTCATTTTCATGGTTCATTGGTCAATGTTCAGTTTTCCTGGCTAACTTTGTTTCTTAATACTATAAGCAATAGGTCAACTATACTTGATGCATGGAATGATTTTAAGGTGTACATGTCTGTCTGGCAGGGTTCATCTGACCTTGACCTCATTTTTATGGTTAAATGGTCAATATAAAATTTTCAGCTATATTCGGTGTGATTGTATTAAAGGTGTACATGTAGTTCCGGCTTGGTTTATCTGACCTTGACCTAATTTTCTTGGATTATAAATGTTAGTGTGATACTTGTAGTAAAACTTTATATTTAGGACTATCAACATAAAATCAATGGTCAGTATAGTAGGCGAGACATTTCAGTGTGTGCACTCTTGTTTAATATTTTTTGTACAAAATAGTACATAATTTAGAAATTAAATGAATTTATTTGAAAGTCCCAAGGTCTAAATTGTTATCAGTTGAGTTTATGCTTTGTGTTCATATTTTCCATTGTATTTTAAGGTTTTAGGACTGGTTTGTTGATTTGGATTCTTACTTTATTATGACATCAAATTGGACTTGTGATTTGAGGAACTGAGATTGGTTTGAGACTGGATGTCCATCAAATATAGTAGACCTGTTGCTTCTATTAATTGAAAAGATCACCTAGCTAACTAAAGTTTGATGTTATTTAGTCAATTTGTCATTAAAATTGGGTCAAGGACAACTATATGTCAGATGTAATTTTCAATCTATATGGCATTTTTCATACAAAATGTGAATCATGTTGTTCTTGTTCTAGAATATCAAGCTTTACCCAAAAAGCTTATGCCAATGCCAGATTAGCATACATAATTCTAATCTTCAGTGAAATCAGACCCAGGCAAAAATCTACAGTACTAGCTAGGGTTGACAAACTTCAAGTCTCACCTGCTGCGATTTCGGAATTTATTTAAGTACACAATGAACTTGAAAACGTCAATGGTCAAATGCAATCTTTAAGGTGCACATGTTCATGTAATTAGTTTATCATGCAGAATATTTTCAACTGCTATCTAGTTTCTGAGCTATACACTTCAATCACAAGCTTAAATTATCACTGGAAATAAGATCAAGGCCTTATGGCACATATTAGACAAACATACTCTTCAAAACCAATCTTCATACCAAATATTGTTGACCTTATTAAGTATAATTACTGAGGAACAGACTTCATTCTGAAAACTTAACCAGCCCAAACAGCTATATGGTTATATCAATCAGCTTTCATTTTGGTGGAAATAATTTTCCCTGTATTCAACATGGCAGTCATAAACAAACAATCTAACATAATTTTATGCAGGGCATTATAGGACACAGTTTTCAATGTTTAATTCTTGGATGGACTTGATCATTCTGACACATTAATTATCAAATTGTCCCATTCAGAATAATATATGTGTGTCAAATGTAACACTTGTATGAAGTAAAAAATCTGTACGGAAGCATACAGTATCAAGTTATTGTTCAAACACATTTTTTCATCTTAGTTTGGTGAGTGTAGTTGATTTAAGGTTATCCAAAGTAATAATATGGAAATTTATTTGCAGCAGATAAGTGCATCTTAGCTAGTCCAAAAATCTTGAACTTTTGATACAAATGCAATTAGCATGCAGGCATAATGAAAACAAAGTTATTTTAAGCTGTCATATAAATTTATCAAATATAACAAACAAACAAGTTCAAATGCATATTCAAAATCATAGCACTGGTTTATAAGCAAAAAATAACAACACTATTTCAACTTCAGATTTTCAACCTTAACTGAAAATATGATATACATGAAACTTTTGAAGATACATTTTCAATATAATGGAAAAAAAATAATAAAAAATATGAATGAAACAGCTCCTAAAATATCTTGATATGTTTCTAAGAATACAATTCTGTTTTACTAGTCAATTGCAGTAACTTAAATGGGTTAATTAAGTGTGTCCCCATATATATAGGTGCTTCACTTGATAAATTGCAAACAAGTATCAAGCAAAAATTAATCACTCCAGTTGAAAATGAAAAAAATAAGTTATCTAAGATTATAAAATTTGTCTTGTTCTTGAATAATAAGTTAAAACTCAAGTCAAGAAACATTTGATGTAAACTTAATCCAAAACTAGTTCAGAAAGAACAGTAGTCCAATTTACCCACATAAAATGTTGACATACACTTTAAAATACAATTTTAAGCCAGTTGAAATTCACATAATAAAGCAACCAATAAATGAACTTTTGACCACTGGCAGTGATTCATGTAAGGGCTGTTCCATTAAAACATACATGGTACCCAGGGAAGGCACTTAAAAAATGGGGTAACCACCTATAGAGGCAAATTAAAATTTCACTAACATTTCCACTATGCAAAAACAAAGATGACACCCACCAATAGTTGAGATTTGGAAGTGCCTTCCCTGGGTCCCATGTATGTTTTTATGGAACAGCCCTAACTTAATTTTATCTTGTAATGACAGAAGGCACATGTATACTTTAAACTAGATGGAACTACAACTTAGAGAGTTCTGATGTGTACTAGATGCTAATTTGGTGAGTTGGTACATTTCCATGGTACTATAAATGTGAGTTCAGCAATCTCAGAGAGATGGATTCTAAGAGTATTGGAACATCTATTCTTATTTCTTGCTGGAGAACTAAATATCTTCAAATTAACTCAGTTTATTCATAAAAATTTGAACCTAATTGTTGTTTTAAGTTTATTCCTGTAATATTTAAAGGGCCATTTAATCTTCTTTGAACTATACAGAACTTGAAGTGATGTCAATTTTAGTAAATTTAGAGGCATCATGGTTACGAAAAATACACGTTTTTAATTCAATCTGTATTTGTAGATGCAATCTGTTATTTTCTATTTTTCTATTTTTGGAGCTTAGAATATAATTAGGTAAATTCAGTCATATACATCTAATATTGAAGCTGCCACTTTATTGCACAATTAATGGTATCCAAGTACATACTTAGTATTTTTATGTAATATACATATGATAATAATGTTTTGTTCTTTTCAACATTCTGATTTGTACAGTACAATTTTTTCCAGAGTATCAAGATATAATTTCACTGAATATGAATATTATATAAATATTATTATTGTGGTATAAAGCTTTATGAACCTTCATTTTACTTCTACATGAGCGATGTATGTACTCATTTGTCAAAAATGATTTCAGTAATCCAAAAAAGTCTTTTGAGGAAATAAAAATAAATAAGATGAAATTTCACAGAACTAAACTCTGTTAAACTGCAAAGTAAGTGTTAAGAGCATTTTACTTTGACAACAACATGAATATAAATAAAAACAAATTTCAAAGAACATGAACCATAACTATAAATTTTTCACAATAGAAAAACAAATGATCGTGATTAACTATGCTAAGAACATTTGAAATATGCACCTATTATATTTTATTGAAAGTTAATTGCATTTTGTGATTTTTTTTACCCCTTATTTCAATGAAATCTCAATAACTGATATCATGGTGTTTTTTTGCCTAACTGCCAATATTGGTATCAACATCTCTGCTAAAATCTTCTAAATTAACAAATTTTAAAATGAAACTTCATAGTTCATTATTATAAGTATTTTCCAAAGTGTTTACTGGAATCCCTGCAACATGGTAAAATAATACACAGCATCAAAGATAATGTTTCTAATTTTGCTTCTTTTTTTTGACAAATGCAGTGATGAAAAACCTCCTAGTTTTATTAAATTGTATATTGAGAAGATATAACCAGGTAAAAGTGGTTTTGTACACATTGAAATTCTTACATGACCGGTAATTCTTCTTTTCATTACAAGCCTTGGCTTCAACAATAGTAATGTTAAAAGATTATGATCAATTATTCTGAAATGTTGGATGCTAATTAAACATAGAACATACAAATGTGCCTGGACTGATTCCTATATATAGGAAATGATTCATGAATATGGTTAATGATTTAAATGCATACATGAATTCAAAAATAAAATACAACACATATTTGTTTGTATAAATCTAATTCATATCAAGACAACAAATTTAAGAAAATTCTAATACTGTTAATTTAAAACATGCATAATGGTCAAAAGAAAGAGATCAGGAACATCATCTAAATGAAAAGGAAGACAATTTCCCTTCATATGATGTCAACACAGTTCTGGTATGTTCAAGACGTTGTTTTAGTTGAGAAGATATGCTTTTCTGGTCTTTCTGAAACCATTCTTTTAACTGAGTAAAAATAGGCATAGGAGCTATAAATGCAATATCCAACATAGCATTGGCAATAATTTCCTTTGCTTCCATGGAAACAGTTGCTAATATCAATAGGCCAAGCATAAATTTTCTAGTATTTTTTTGTGCAAATTTAGGATCCATTTTTCTTCCCAATATAGTAGCTGAAATTAAAAGAACAAATAACATGTTATATTTCGAATCCTTGGTTAGAGCTTACATCTAGAAAACAACTGTCAGCATAACAATATGGAAACAATGCTTTAAATGCTGTTTTTGTGAAGTTCTAAATTTCCACTATAAATACATTGTGCAATATAATTATATTTAACTTTCTTTTGTTTTTGTTTTTTGTAGCATGTAATTGACAGTAATCGAAAAGTAATGTAATTACTTTTGATATAGTAATGGATTGCAATCGAATCGATTACATACAAAAATCAGAGAAATCAATTAATAATAATCAATAACACAAAAATCCTTCAAGAAATTGAGTGTTAATGGATTACATTTGTCAGTAATCATGCCCATACCTGAGCATAATTATCCTTTTTTACATAGAAAACTGTATTCTATACGTTTGTCTTCTTATTTGCTGGCTATTTTTATTGGCTTTATCTGTATCTTAGCAATCATGAAAGTTACATGCAACATTTACAATATTCATATGCAATTATGTGTGCTCTAGTTGCATTCAAAATTTCATAATAAAGTTGATCTAAAACAAGTGTTACACAAAAATATTTTAGAATCTGGTAAATTAAAAAATTAAGAGCATGTATAAATATATACATTTGACACAACCAAAAAACAATATTCAAATATGAAATGTGTTTATATAACCTTTCTTTATATAACAATAATCTAAATACTGTTGCTGCATAATAAGCAAGAGACACATTAATGATTTTTTTTTTGGTGTCATTTTGATATCCATGGCAGTAACAATTGTTTAGAATTTCCTAACAACTATTGCAATGTCATATCCAAAGCTAGAACATATGTAGCCCATGTTCAAGCCACAGTAAATATCGTTTTTTGCATAAAGGTCACCTTAAAGTTTTTATTAAAGAACCTTATTTGTTTTTTTAATTAATTCTTGATTCTTTGTTTTTTTTAATTTTGTGCTGTTGATTTCTGTCTTAATCTTGCTCTGTGTTTTGTGTTTTTGATGTTAAATATTTGGATCATGATTTTGTTGTTGCTAATTTGTAATATCTCTATTGTGTTCTGGAGTTTAATGAAATTAATTTGTGTGTTGTCATTCTTACATTGTGATTTTGTGTGAACTATTAAAAAATAGTGGAACTGTTTTTTTAAACTAGTAATGAAATGGAATATAGAAAGGTTTATTTAGTGGAGCAGGATCTGATTACCCTTCCGGAGTACCTGAGATCACCCCCAGGTTTTTGGTAGAGTTTGTGTTGCTCAGTCTCTAGTTTTCTATGTAGTGTTTTGTGAACTTCTTGGTCGTTTAGTCCTTTTCCATTTTTTTTCAATGGTGTTGACAGTTTCTCTCAACTTATGAGTTTTGAATGACTTCTTGGTATCTACAGCCTCTTTTTTAATTGAACTACACAAATTATAGTTGATTTAGCTACAAGGTTATGGATATATTTAAAGTAGGTTGTTCTGAAATCAAAGATTTAAGGGGACCTTCTCATACAAAAAAGGGTATAAAATGATTTTCTCAGGCTTTAATCTTTAGATGGATTCTTTTATTTCTAACAATTACTTACCAGCAATATTGACAATACTTTTAATGTACATAAGAGGAAATCCTCCATTCATATGAATATTTCCTTTTACTTTTTGAAAAAACTGATTCAAGCAAATTGGAGTAAAACTGTTCTTGAAGAATTCTGAGTCCTCTGTCAACAGCAACAATTCCAAACTTTTGTAAACCTCAAATTGTTGGTCTGAAATAATAGAAATAAAAGCAAAGTCATATATTTATACACTGTCAGCTTTCCTATGTATTGTTATATATAGGGGTATAGGTTGATACTTAGGAATTTAGCCCCACTCTATAGCAGTTGATACCTATGTCTTGTCTTAAAAAGATCAATCATGCTGCTAACAATTGTTTATCTTATTGAGAATATATCAAAGTTTAATTTCATTTTGGTTTTCCAATCCAAATTCAAAAGAGACATCACATTTTAATTTTTAGATGACGTTCTGATCTTTCAATCAAAGAAAGTTTCCTTCCAGTGTGATTATTTGAATTCAGTTGTATATTCTCCCAAAATAAATTCATTAAAGTACCTTACATTCTTTCGAGTGTTTCCATGCAATCATCAATATAAACAAAATAAAATGTGTAGGGTATACATCAATGAGAGAATATTTACCAGAAATGGAATATGTAGGGCATACATCAATGAGTTAATATTTACCAGAAATGAAATGTGTAGGGTATACATCAATGAGAGAATATTTACCAGAAATGGAATATGTAGGGCATACATCAATGAGTTAATATTTACCAGAAATGGAATATGTAGGGCATACATCAATGAGAGAATATTTACCAGAAATGAAATGTGTAGGGCATACATCAATGAGTTAATATTTACCAGAAATGGAATATGTAGGATATTCATCAAGGAGTGAATATTTACCAGAAATGAAATGTGTAGGGCATACATCAATGAGAAAATATTTACCAGAAATGAAATGTGTAGGGTATACATCATTGAGCGAATATTTACCAGAAATGAAATGTGTAGGGTATACATCATTGAGCGAATATTTACCAGAAATGAATTGTGTAGGATATTCATCATTGAGTGAATATTTACCAGAAATGGAATACGTAGAGTATTCATCAATGAGTGAATATTTACCAGAAATGGAATACGTAGGATATTCATCATTGAGTGAATATTTACCAGAAATGGAATACGTAGGGTATTCATCAATGAGTGAATATTTACCAGAAATGAAATGTGTAGGGCATACATCAAGGAGTGAATATTTACCAGAGATGGAATATGTAGGATATTCATCATTGAGTGAATATTTACCAGAAATGGAATACGTAGGGTATTCATCAATGAGTGAATATTTACCAGAAATGAAATGTGTAGGGCATACATCAATGAGAGAATATTTACCAGAAATGGAATATGTAGGATATTCATCAAGGAGTTAATATTTACCAGAAATGAAATGTGTAGGGCATACATCAATGAGAGAATATTTACCAGAAATGGAATATGTAGGATATTCATCAAGGAGTTAATATTTACCAGAAATGAAATGTGTAGGGTATACATCAAAGAGTTAATATTTACCAGAAATGAAATGTGTAGGGCATACATCAAGGAGTGAATATTTACCAGAAATGAAATGTGTAGGGTATTCATCAAGGAGTTAATATTTACCAGAAATGAAAGGTATTCATCAAGGAGTTAATATTTACCAGAAATGAAATGTGTAGGGCATACATCAAAGAGTTAATATTTACCAGAAATGAAATGTGTAGGGCATACATCAAGGAGTGAATATTTACCAGAAATGAAATGTGTAGGGTATTCATCAAGGAGTTAATATTTACCAGAAATGGAATATGTAGGATATTCATCAAGGAGTGAATATTTACCAGAAATGAAATGTGTAGGGCATACATCAAGGAGTGAATATTTACCAGAAATGAAATGTGTAGGGCATACATCAATGAGTTAATATTTACCAGAAATGGAATATGTAGGATATTCATCAAGGAGTGAATATTTACCAGAAATGAAATGTGTAGGATATTCATCAAGGAGTTAATATCTACCAGAAATGAAATGTGTAGGGCATACATCAATAAGTGAATATTTACCAGAAATGGAATATGTAGGATATTCATCAAGGAGTGAATATTTACCAGAAATGAAATGTATAGGGTATACATCAATGAGAGAATATTTACCAGAAATGAAATGTGTAGGATATTCATCAAGGAGTTAATATCTACCAGAAATGAAATGTGTAGGGCATACATCAATAAGTGAATATTTACCAGAAATGGAATATGTAGGATATTCATCAAGGAGTGAATATTTACCAGAAATGAAATGTGTAGGGCATACATCAATGAGTTAAAATTTACCAGAAATGGAATATGTAGAATATTCATCAAGGAGTTAATATTTACCAGAAATGAAATGTGTAGGGCATACATCAATAAGTGAATATTTACCAGAAATGGAATATGTAGGATATTCATCAAGGAGTTAATATCTACCAGAAATGAAATGTGTAGGGTATACATCAATGAGCGAATATTTACCAGAAATGGAATACGTAGGGTATTCATCATTGAGTGAATATTTACCAGAAATGGAATACATAGGGTATTTATCAATGAGTGAATATTTACCAGAAATGGAATACGTAGGATATTCATCAATGAGTGAATATTTACAAGAAATGAAATATGTAGGATATTCATCAAGGAGTGAATATTTACCAGAAATGAAATGTGTAGGGCATACATCAATGAGTTAATATTTACCAGAAATGGAATATGTAGGATATTCATCAAGGAGTTAATATTTACCAGAAATGAAATGTGTAGGGCATACATCAATAAGTGAATATTTACCAGAAATGAAATATGTAGGATATTCATCAAGGAGTTAATATTTACCCGAAATGAAATGTGTAGGGCATACATCAATAAGTGAATATTTACCAGAAGTAACACTGGTTGCCTCATCTTGTTTAGTAATTTTTAGTAACTCTTGTAACAATATCCTCAACACTGCAGCATTCTCCATGTTTTGTGGTTTAGACCAATTACATAATCTAGAGTAACAGACAATTACCTACAATACAATTATTATTATTATACCAATAAAACATTATTGTAAAGTACTGATGTTGACATTAGGTTTTTAATAGGTCTTAAAAATGTTGTCAAGTTAACTCACACATTTCTACAATAAGTTTTTTAATAATTTTGTACAGTTACATCAAACCAAAGATAATAACATATATATCAATTTTCTATATTAATAAAGAAATGCAATTGATTCTTTGGTCTTTAATCAACTTAAAAAATTTTCATCAATACATGTACTTCAAAATATCAGACCTCCATCAACTTTTTCTCTTTCTTCCTCCCTGATCTAATTACTTATTACTGACAATCAAAAGTTGTCAGATGCTATAAAGTTTACAACCCCAAAAAGGTAAATAACAAGTAATTTGATCTATTTAAAACATTAACGGTACCAATTTTTCTGCACCAGATGCACATTTCAACATTGAATGTCTCTTCAGTGATGCTTAAGGCCAATTGATATTGATATGCAGTTATGTGATAAGTGTGTGTTTTCACTTTCAATGTTTTTAGTGTTTTTTTTCTTCATGCAAAAATTAAACATTGACCAAATAATCATAAAAAAGAGGTCGATATCTGGTGAACAGAGTCAGATGGATATATTTGCCTTACTAATATTTAATATGCTAAATATATTAGACCTATTACATATAATATCTAAGGAACTGACCTGATCACAAAAACTAAACATTGGTCACAGAACTTTAAAATTAGGTCAAGTTCATGTTGAACCCTTTCTTTAATACCTTACGATGATAATAAATACCACATATAGGTGAACAATGAAAAGATTGTGTGATAAAAAAAAAACTATACAATAAACATTTCTTACCTTTTCATGTTTTTCTTTATCTGTTAGTAAAATTTTCATGATGCAAAATTCAAATGTTGTCAACAAAACACTTGGATCTGAAAAGGAAACAAGATGGAATGTGAACTATCGAACACTAATGATATCCACAATATATGATTTTGATAAACAGGAAGATGATGAGCAATGGATGTGAAGATGCATTACATGGTGTAGCATGTTCACGTACAGCATGGTAACAGATTTCAGGAAGCCTGGATATAGTTCCTATGAAAAATGTGACCAAAACTTGATCACCTAAGACTGGTTAAATTCCCCACATTTGTACAGAGTCAGGCTATCTGGACCATGTTTTGTTGATTGTTGTTTGTCTTTTTGTATGGCAGGTATGGTCTGTTTTGCTATAAAATATTGTTATTCCTGATCATCTTTATTTTTCGTATTATCCAATTACTAGAGGGACCTTTGGTAACAGGCTTGAGACATGAAACACTAAAAACTTTCCATTAACTTATTTTTATGAAACGCTGGTATTTAATTTGTAGACTTCAGGCAATGCCCCAATTATTGAAAGAATAAAGGTTATATCACTAGGATATCCAACTCACCTGTATTAGATTTGTACAAGACTTCAGGCCAAACTCCTATTATTGACAGACCAAGGGTTATATACCTCGGGTAACCACTGGTTACTATATGGTAAAACAATACTCTGACAGAGCCCACATTTCCTGTCAAAACATAAAATAAACAGAATTAACCTCAATGTGAAATACATTCATCAAACCATTCTGTTATAAAATATGTAATAAACAGCTGTGCCAGAAGCACAAGATACACCAAATCATCTGCATATTGATATTGTTGCAAGAATAAAATAGAATATTGGAGAGGACATTCTATCAGAAGTCAGTACTATAAAAAAACTCAGTCAATGCAGCATAAAATGAGGCTCAGAGTGAGTGAATTCTCAAATTGAGAGACTGCTACATTCCCCTAAAAAAGCAACTTATTACCATGCTATAGGATTGCAGTTTCCTTTGTTTCTTTAAAATGAATTTTGTTTTAAGATTCAAATACCAAAATTATAGAATAAAAGAACAGAGTTCCAATGTCCCCTGCATTGCATATATTCTATATGTCCAAGGGCAACTTTTTTTTCTGGTTCTTTTAAACATTTTTATAAATATCTTAGAGAAATGAAGGCTTGAGAGCAAATGCAATGCAATTTCCGATTAATAGTTAATATTTCCAAGGGGCATAACTCTTTTAAAAATATTTGACCAGCACTGATTTTCAAAATTGTCCAAAACATTATTGATATATTGTACATGTGAGAGCACTTCAGTGCAATTTTCCATATAATTAATATTTCCAAGAGGCAGAACTCTTTTAAAAATAATTGATCGGCACTGATTTTTGAACTTGTCAAAGACATTGCTGATATAAGCCTATGATATATTTTTCATAAAAATCTGGCAAAAACTATACACATGAGAGCGCTAACAATGCAATATTCCAAAAAATTGGAACAATCACATAACAATAATTAAACTTTTTTCCAGACTTAAGATATATCACTTACCTTCTTTCTGGCATATTCCTGTGAACATTCGACTGAAAATATGAAATACAAGTTGTTACAAAACTTTCTTTTTTCAAGAAAAGTATTCAAAACACATTTCAGGGAAGAACAATTTGAGTTGCAAACTAAATTATCAAGATAAATTGTTAATTTCTCCCTATCTTTATAATTCACCTTCAAAGAATGTTAGTTTGTTTGATGCTGTGATTTAAAGCTGAATTCTATAAACTCCAGGGGTTAAATATTCTGACAGACCCACCATTAGCTGGGGTATAAAAAGCAAAATGGAAAACTTAATGACTGAGGTGGACGCTTTGCTATAGGTAGATTTCATTAAGTTATCTAAACCATTCCTCATGGTAGATTTTTATTTTTACTGAATAAATAAATTACTGAAGATTCTCAAGAAATAATAATGACAAAACTTCTTTAAGAAATAACACTGATAAAACTGATCTAAGAAATAACAATGATAAAACTGCTCTAAGAAATAACAATGATAAAACTGCTCTAAAAAATAATAATGATAAAACTGCTCTAAGAAATAACACTGATAAAACTACTCTAAGAAATAACAATGATAAAACTGCTCTAAGAAATAACAACGATGAAACTGCTCTAAGAAAAAATAATGATAAAACTACTCTAAGAAATAATAATGATAAATGTTACCATAGTGATGTTCTTCCTAGTATGGTTACCACATCTCTAAGCATAATACAATTCCATAATGCATCCAACAATCTGGTCTTAAATTCAACCTAAAATTCAGCAAATTGAAAAATAATTAGAAGCAGACCTTTATAAAACAAAATGAAATATGTTTGTAATCTTTCAATGACAAATGTCATGATAAATAGTACTGGGAGTCTAATAAATATCTATCTACAGTTTTTGTAGTCTTTTAAAATTGTTACTCATTTAATGTGTTATAGTCAAATAATATCTTTCTCATTTTATTCATGAAATCAAATATACTGTTGTCTTTCTAAGGAAAAATAAAGTCAGCCTCAAGTATCGATTACTTGCCAATAAATAAATACATCTTTTAATACATTGAACATACCCAAATGTTGTTGTGTATTATGTAAACAAATAGATCTACAAGTCTTGACTCCTGTGTAGTGAGGAACGGTCCTGGTTTGGATTCCTCTCCATTTTTACAGAATCTATACATACTGTTTAACATCTCTTCCTCACTACTTCTTAAATACTGAAAAAGTTATAGCATAGATTAATTGTTAAATAGAAATTTCACTGATGCACTTTCTTCCAAGTTTGGCTACAAATTTCAAGATTAAATAAGGTGTTTATTTATAGAAAGCTTTAGCATCAGAATATGATCTTTTATTTATATCAACATTGTAAGGCAAACACTTACAACTTACATTTGGCGAAGCAATAATCTAACGTCTTTTATTTAGATGGGCAATATTTCTTTAAATATACTGTTCACACAGAGATATGTCTCGCCTATTTATTATTTTGATAATGCAAATGTTGAATTTAAAATAGCAATACTTTAACATGTAAGTTATGCAAATATTCAAAGTCAATTAACCACGACTGAAGTTACAGGGCTAAACCATCTCCATAGAAATGAGATGTGTCAATGCTAATACAACTGCATATCAAATACCATTGACTTTTCATAAGTTGTTCCCTTTAAACAAAGCTAAACACAAACATTAACTTGTAAACTATGTAAAAGTCAATGAACCATAATGAGGGGGTGGGGTTATATAATCTCCCTGGAAATGAAACTTGCAAATTCCAATACATTTGCACATCAAATATCATAGACTTAACATTAGAGGTTCATCTTTAACTGACCTAATCACAAACTACAACATGAAAACTAAGCAAAAGTTCCAAAGTTAATAGAGCATGACTGAGGGGGTGGGGCCAAATAATCTTCATGGAAATGAGATATGCCAATGCTTATACAACTGCATACCAAATATCATTGATCTACCACTAGTGGTTCCCCATAAACTGACCTAATCACAAACTAATACATGAAAACTAAGCAAAAGTTTCAAAGTCAAAAGAGCATGACTGAGGGGGTGTTGCCAAATAATCTCCATGGTAATGAGATGTGCCAATGCTAATACAACTGCATATCAAATATCATTGATCTACCACTAGTGGTTCACCATAAACTAGACCTAATCACAAACTAATACATTGCTGACGCCGCCGTCGCCGGAAACAGCATACCTATGTCTTGCTTTTTGACTCTGTCAAGGCGAGACAAAAAAACTTAATAATCTAATAAAATACACACAACAAATTATTAAGGATAATGTGTACCTGTGTTGTCCATAGTATAACAGCAGGCAGTACAGCAGCAGGATCTTTATCTGTTAGTAACTTGACCTTGACATCCTCTGGGGTCATGTGATACAAACATATATACTGCTGCAGGTATATCTCAACATCTGAAAATACAATAAAAATCTATTAATGATACAAAAGATAATATATGTTGATTAATTATACCTTATATATATCCTGGGAACAGATTGCTGTATTTTTCATGTATTTTTTTTTATCAAACGAAATTTGATCATATTTCATCATTGCCCGGGTATAAAAGGGAATTGCCATTTTCATCCTCTCTGTCACAACTTGATAGCAAAATAATAATGCAATCTAATTCTGAATGTTTAACTTAAGTTTTAACCATCTAAATTGATATTCAGTATAACTAATCAGATATGTCATGTTAAGGAGGGATATTTAAAAAACAATATCAAGAGAAGGTAAATGTTATTGAGTCTCTGTTCAATATTGTTGTTATTATATTATAACATTGTATTCAAGGAAAACACATGTACTTTAAAATAAAAATATACATACGCTTGTCACAAATTATATTTTATATTAGTAATAAGAAAAAAAAAATTTTTTTGCTTTTTGTTTTCACACAGTATTTAGATGAGATATGTTAATTTGACTTTTTAATTTTAATTTTTACTGACATTTTAGTAAGGATTATCTTACCTTTCCAGTAACCTGTTTCCTGCTTTAAGATTACCTTCTCCTCTTGTGTTTCAGATATCTTCTCTACTGTACACTAAACAATTGAACATATATAAATTAATATAAAAGAATGTATCTTACCTAGAGGATCAAAACATGTATATAGTTTATCATTCCGTGGTATGGGGGTTCCAAAATGATCAGTGATATTTGGCGCAAGACAGCAAAGGAAATGCAGATTAAGTTAAGTATTTTGAGCTTGTTTTTCAGAAACTGTGAGCATTCTTTTATATGGTATAATGTGTTATTTTTTTTGTTGTTATCTATTATACCATTATTTTAGAGTTAAATGCTGTATTGCTTTTTATTGTGAACTTTCAAGTACATCTTTTCAGCTGATCAATACTTAAAAAGGGAAAGGATGGAGATCTAGAAAGGGTAGTTTAACATTTTCATGTGACTGTCAGGAACCTTGTCAGTAGTTGTCATATGACATATCTTGACATTTTTCATTAGTTGGAGAATTGGGAGTTAATCATGTTAATGGCAGATGTTTTTTATTGTTTCTTCTAAATTTATCCACAACTTTTATGAACTCAGGACAAGCTTGGCATATGGTATAGCCACCTGAAGAATGAATGTTGCTCTCAATATGACTTTCTGTTAATTTTTATGTTGGGTTTTAATCTCATTACCATAAACTGTACATCCCCTTTTATTCCTATTAAGCCTGAGGTATAGTTATTAATAAATATAATGTAGATAAAACGGAGAACACAGAGATATCTCTTAATCTGATAAACTGTTGGATGCCTTTCTGTCAAGTTAAGTTCAATTCTAAAGTAAATAAATGTGGATAGTGTCCACATGTGGACACAGATGATGCCCCCGCTTGCATATCATATAGTTATAAAGGAACATAACTGAAGAACGGTAAAAGTGATGCTACCCAAATTTGAACTTGATCTGAGTTTTGTGTTTAAGTTTCATAACATTTGGTTGAGGCAATCTTAAGTTGAGAACAGAAACTAAAAATTCAGCAATTTTTCTATTTGCAAACACGCATAACTCTAGAACGGTTGTGTATAAGTTTTATAACATTTGGTTGAGACAAAATAAAAAATTCAGCAATTTTTATGTTTATAAAGGGACATAACTCAAGACTGGTAAAAGTGTCGGCACCTTATTTCGTACTTAATCTGTATTATGTAGTAATATGCATTGTGTATAAGTTTCATAACATTTTGTTGAGGCAAACTAAAGTTAGAAAACGGAAACAAAAAATTTGTACTTGATCTTAGTTTTGTGGTAATGAATATTGTGTATAGGTTTCATAATGTTTGGTTGGGGCAAACTTAAGTTACAGAATGGAAACTAAAAATTTTGCAATCTTTCGATTTATAAAGGGGCATAACTCAATAATGGGTAAAGTGACACTACCCAAATTCAACTAGATCTGTGTTTTATCAGTGGAAGTCAAAATTAAACATTGCATTGTATAAAGTATTGATTGTAGTTGATTCAACTATAATCATGGACAAAGGAAGATAACTCCAATTTTAAAAATAAAATGCTACGCAGGGCGCAGCTTGATACGACCGCAGAGGTCGAAACCCTGAACAGTTGGGGCAAGTATGGACACAACATTCAAGCTTGATACAGCTCTGAATTTGGATTGTGATTAAATATTTGACACAGCATAGGTTTCTGACACAGAATGAATGTGGTCTAAGAACTTAAAAATTTTAAATTGGACATTCACCTATTATGGTCCAATATCCAAAATCTAAATACATGGTTAGATTCAGCATATCAAAGAACCCCAAGAATTCAATTTTTGATGAAATCAAACAAAGTTTAATTTTGGACCCTTTTGACCTCAATGTGGACAAAGTTGATAACGGGGCCCAAAAATCAAAAATCTAAATACATGGTTAGATTCAGCATATCAAAGAACCCCATATAGTCAATTTTTGTTGAAATCAAACAAAGTTTAATTTTGGACCCCGATTTGGACCAACTTGAAAACTGGGCCCATAATCAAAAATCTAAATACATGTTTAGATTCAGCATATCAAAGAACCCTAAAAATTTAATTTTTGTTAAAATCAAACTAAGTTTCATTTTGGACCCTTTGGACCTTAACGTAGACCAATTTGAAAACGGAACCAAAAATTAAGAATCTAAATACACGGTTAGATTCGGCATATCAAAGAACCCCAATAATTCAATTTTTGATGAAATCAAACAAAGTTAAATTTTGGACCCTTTGGACCTCAAAGTGGACCAATTTAAAAACGGGGCCCAAAATCCAAAAACTTAATACACGGTTAGATTCAGCATATTAAAGAACCCCAAGAATTCAAGAATAAAACCCGTATGAAATTGATCAAGAAATAAGCAATTTATACGAAGTATCTTCTTTTGCACAATACTGTGCAATTGAATATTTCTTGCTATTGCGCAATACTGTACAACTGACAATTTCTTGCTATTGCGCAATACTGTGCAATTGAAGATTTCTTGCTATTGTGCAATACTGTGCAATTGAAAATTTCTTGCTATTGCACAATACTTATTATATAATAATTTACACATCCTGTTTGGTGTGTATCTCCTACCATATCATTATTATTTGCTTTTAAATATTAATCAGAAATAACCAACTTAAAATGGAAAATTTTTAAAGAAATAAAAAAGGAAAAAAAGAAAAAAAAAAATCCCCCCCCCCCAAATTTTTTGAACCCCCTTATGATTCATCACCCCCAAACTCAATCCCAGCCTTCCCTTTGTGGTATGGTACCTTGCAGTACAATTTCAGAGAGATCCATACACTTGAACACAAGTTATTGTCTGGAAACTAGAAAAATGCTTATTTTTGGCCCCTTTTTGGCCCCCAATTCCTAAACGTTTCGGGCAATTACCCCCAAACTCAATTCCAGCTTTCCCTTTGTGATATGGAACCTTGTAGTACAATTTCAGAAATATCCAAACACTTACACACAAGTTATTGTCATGAAACTAGAAAAATGCTTGTTTTTTGCCCCTTTTTTGGCTTATTCCTAAAATTTTGAGGCAATTACCCCCAAAATCAGTTACAGCCTTCCCTTTGTGATATGGAACCTTGTGGTACAATGTCAGAGAGATCCATATACTTACACACAAGTTATTGTCTGGAAGTTACAAAAATGCTTATTTTTGGCCCCTTTTTGGCCCTTAATTCCTTAACTGTTGGTACCATAACCCCCAAAATCAATCCCAACCTTCCTTTCGTGGTATTGAACCTTATGGTAAAATTTCATGGAGATCCATTCACTTAAACTAAAGTTAGAGTGCGAAAACCAATGTGTCTTCGGACGCCGACGACGCCGACGCCAACGTCATACCAATATACGACCAAAAATTTTTTAATTTTTGCGGTCGTATAATAACTTGATATTAAGAAGAAAATAAAAATTTTGCAATTTTCCATTTATAAAGGGACATAACTCTGGAACGGTTAAAGTGACGCCACCAAAATTCAAATTTGATCTGTGTTTTGTGGTAATAAGCATAATGTATAAGTTTCATAACATTTGGTTGAGGCAAACTTAAGTTAGAGAACGGAAACTAAAAATTTTGCAATTTTTCCTTTTATAAAGGGGCATAACTCTAGAACGGTTAAAGTGACGCCACCAAAATTCAAACTTGATCTGTGTTTTGTTGTAATAAGCATTGCGTATAAGTTTCATAACATTTGGTTGAGGCAAACTTGAGTAAGAGAACGGAAACTAAAAATTTTTAATTTTCCATTTATAAAGGGGCATAACTCTAGAACGGTAAAAGTGACGCCACCAAAATTCAAACCTGATCTGTGTTTTGTGGTAATAAACATTGTGTATAAGTTTCATAACATTTGGTTGAGGCAAACTCAAGTTAGAGAACGAAAACCAATTTCGGGACGTACGTTATACGTACACACATATGTACAGACGGACAAGGGTAAAACTTAATGCCCCCACCGCTATGGCGGGGGCATTAAAAACAATATGCAGTGATAAACTTTCCTGTCCATGTTTTGCTAGGGAAAACCAAAATTGGAATAGAGAAGGCAGAAATAATTTTCTAGGAATATTTTTTATATGTCCGTTCATGATGAAGGGTATATGTCTGAATTGGGAAAACAGATGAACAGCTGCCAATGTGATAAATTCTTCATAAAAATAATAAACCCTTAAAAGTGTCCCCTTTACCAGACTGCAATCCTCTACCATTAGAATTAAGCTAAATCACACAAAAGTTTCCTGTCAAGTTTAGTTCCACTTAAACATAAAATATTTGAGATTTTGTCAACAAAAACAAACCTTTTTCTTGTCTTTGATTTCACTTGCTATAGGTTCTAAACTTTTTCGCTTTAGTGCTGCTCCTTGTTTTGGAACTCTGAAAAAAAACCAACAATTTCATAAGCTCAATTCAAACTTTAACCTGTACAATGTGTGTGATTAAACCATCTTTCATTTCAACAATTCCAACAATTGTGTAAAGTTTCCAGTGAATCATTCAAAGCTTACTCAAGTTATGGTACATGAGAAAAATTTACTTCAATCTGTTATTGTCCTGAACTCAGAAACGACTATTAACAATAAAATTTTAAAAATCAAATGAGCTTCCTTTTATAAAACAAAAGTGTAAAGTTTAGAAGAACCAATTCAAGGATACTAAAGTTAGTGCGCGAAAGGTTAAAAACGTTTAAATTTTCAGGAATAAAGTCCCATAACTCAGCTGGAATGATGAAAGCGAAAATCATAAATATTAAAAGGGAGACTACTTTGATCAATTCAAGTCCTGTGATAAAATTTCAGGAAAAAGTATCACAGCAAAATTGAATTATTATACAACATTTGAGAAAAATGTCCAATTTTCCATGAATGAAGTCCCATAACTCTGAAATGAACAAGAATGTGTCCATAGTATAGGATGCCCCACTTGCACTAAAATTTTCTATGTTCAGTGGACCGTGAAATTGGGGTCAAAACTCTAATTTGGTATTAAAATTAGAAAGATCATATCATAGGGAACATGTGTACTAAGTTTCAAGTTGATTGGACTTCAACTTCATCAAAAACTACCTTGACCAAAAATGTTAACACAGGTCAGGTGCATCATTTTATATACAAGCATTCTAAAAGTTTGAAGGACCTGGGTTGAAAACTGAAAGTGGAATTGATAATACAAAATGGTTATCATCCATTTAGAAAGTTAATGAAAATTTCACTATCTGAAAAATCAGTAAAAGGCTTCAAATCTGACCACAAAATGAGGTAGGACTGTCTGGTTTCAGGAAAGGTATATATGTACTTAAAGTAAACCTATCAAAAATATATATAAAGAGAGAAATACTAACTGCAATTTTATATTAATGCTAAATATTTGTTTTGTAGATCATTAGCACAAGATACCCAAGTTTTAGTGAACAGTATTACCTAAAGGTTACAAAAGGTAAACTCTTTTTTATATTCCTTAAAGTTTTTTGAAAGCAATATAGCATTACTAACAATGACTAACTACCTGCTAATCCTTTGCTTTCTGTTTAATGCTAATGGATCCCTCTCAGCAGGTACCGGTTTCTTTGCACTGCTGGTCTGGCTTGTACTAGTAGTAGCTGTGGCACTGATAGGTTTAACATGTATGGCATGTGTTGGCACACTGGATGAGAAGCTACAAGGCCTATTCTTTGTTCTTTTCTTTGGAACATTGACAGGTGTACTCCTGTTTGAATGAGTTTCAGAGACATCATCCTCTATCCATGGGGAACCAGGTAGTGGTGAAACTGCTTCACTTTGTTGAGCTGGTGATGGCGGTAGTGGTGAAATCATCATTGGAATGGTAAAATCAAATGGTGAAACAGATAACGGTGATAGTGGTAATGGGGAATGTAACGACTTTGGTCGACTCTCAATCTTAAAACAAAGATCAGGTATATCTGGTGATATTACTGTTGAGGAAGGAACAGTTTTAGTATTTAATCCATGTAGAACTAACTGATGTAGAGTCTTTTTGCTAGTTGGAATGTTTACTTGACTAGATTCATTTGCAGAATTAGAAATCTGTCCAATGTCATCTTTTTTGTTTTTTTCGATTAGTTTCTTCTTATCCTTATTTTTTTTCTTAACTTTTGCTGGAGGTAATGCTTCCTTCAAATCTTTAATATTACTTTTCTCACTAGTGTTTGTTTGATAATTATCTCTCTCTCTGTTTTTATCACCACCTTTATTATCTCCCTTAGAAAGTATTTTGGGTTCAATATCTGTTGAAAGTCTTTCTCTAGCTTCAATACTATCCTGGCTAGATCTCCTTGATTCAATAAATGTGATGTATTTTTCTTTTAATATGTCATTTTCACTCTTTTTATCATTCTCACATATAAGAGAGGAAATGTTATCATTTTTATTTTGGTTCACTATTTCCTTTTCATTTTTTGGATCAGTCACATTAATCACCTCCATCCCAGAATGCAGTGCCACTAATTCAGTATTTAAATTACAATCTGAATTATTCAAATGATTGTCAATAATATCAACTTTAAATCCTAAGCTTTCCTGGTGAGATATCCTTCTATCTGAATGTTTCGCTTCACTTTCCTTTTGCATTGTTTTATTTTCTGTCAGTTCATCCTTTGTTTTGATGTTTTTATCATTTTCTATAACAACTTCTTCTAAGTTCCCAATAGGATAAAGATCATCAGTTGTCAATATTTCATTTTGTATACCTTGACTACATGAAGACTTTGCATGCAAGTTTTCACTTTCAACAGAGTATTGTGATTTCAATGCGAAGCCACCACTTTCCTGCCTGATCATATTCCTAGTCAATTTTTCAGAAGTTTGTATTCTATTTTCATCCTGAGCACATTTTACATGTAATGAGTCTTTTTGAGCATGATGTGTATGAGATCGCTGTTGAGTATCATCTGATTTGCATAAAGGTTTTTCTTGCTGATGTAAATTATTTTCATCCTTCTTATTCACCAAAGGGAGATCATCCAAAACTGGAGTTTCACAAATTTCTCTTGCTGAATTATCTTCTAAATTACAATTGTCATAAATTAAGTCATCTAAATCAAATCCATTATCACCAGCATCTATTTTCTTTTTTAAGCCATTATTATCAATGAAACCTGTATCAGTCCTCTGGTTAGTATGACTTCTATTCACTTTTTCTACCAATCTATTTGTATTCTTTGTATTCAATCCATCACTAGACGGTTTCTCAGCAAATTCAATTTTACGAGATGTATTCATAGAGGGTTTATTTTTACTAATTTTGTCAACATATGTGTCCTCTGAAGTTTTTACTGGTTTGAATTCATTAGGATACACTTCTAAGCAAGTTGTTTTATGAATAGGTTCAGTTTGTTTTACTAAATTAGATTTTATAGGCATATCTGAAATTGTTTTTGGTTTGAATTTCTTAAAAGCAGAATGTTCACTCAGTTCAACTTTGCTATCAGATTTTTCATTTCTTTTTTTCTCACTTTCAAACACTTTTTCTAAATTGTCACCTTTTTCATTAGGTTTCTCCAAAATATCCAATGAAAACACTTTGAAGTTGTCATCCGATTGTTTTCCAGTCAAGTTTCTGTCCATTTCACATTTCACATTTTCAGAATCTGAATCTGATAAACTTTCACCTTCACCTTCATTCATCTTTGTAAAAGAGTTTGATTTCAATAATGCTATTTTTCTGTCATTTTTACTTGTATTTGAAACTTTATTTTTTGGTTTTTGTTTACTTTCCACCAATGGTGATAGAGTTTGTACTTTCCGGAGTAACGACTGTGACCTTGATGTTTGCCGAACAGGTGATGACCTCAGAAGTTCAGACTCCAATATATTTGCCATATCATCAATGTTTTCTTCGTCACTTTCCATATTACCTATCAAAGGCTTGTTCTAAAAAAAAATTTATAAGGATTAATTAAGAAAAGAAGACTCTTTTTGTAGTTCCATTGTAATGTTAAACCATAGATCAAGTACACATTTTAAAGAATAAATCACTTCATACCAGCCACAGAATGATTCAAATGCTTCAATCATGTTTAACTCTGTCACATTCTGTGTGTTCCTGTCTCAAGTCAGGAGCCTGTAATTCAGTGGTTGTTGTTTGTTGCTGAATATCATTTTTGTTTTTTGTTTATTGTTTTGTACATAAATCAGGTCCTTGGTTTTCTCATTTTTTTTATCTTTTATATATTCAGGATCTATTTTATGGAATAACTTACCAATATCCATGAAAAAACCAACCTCAAGTACAAGCTCATTCAAAAAAGATTTAAAAAATTACTTGTTGGAACATAAGAAGCTGTGTAATTTTATATGCATAATAATTTTCACTCACTTACTTAATATGGTTGAGGTAATTTGAATGATGCCAATATTATATGAATTCATCATTTTTTACCTGTTTTGAAGATTGTATATATTATAACAATTTCTTATTTGATTTTTCTTATGTGTGTGTTTGTTTGATTATTTGGTAATTGTTTGTTTGTTATATTTCAATACATTTCATGAGGGCCTCAGGGAAGATTAGTGTTATAGCTAACTGTGTAACCCTCTTTAAATAAAGAATTATTATTTTTATCATTATTATTATTTGAATTGTTTTACAATTGTCATTTCTGGGCCTTTTATAGGTTGCTATGCAGTATGGGTTTCCTCAATGTTGAATGCTGAATGGTGACCTATAGTTGCTAACTGCAAGGCAATTGGTCTCTAGTGGAGATTTGTCTTATAGGCGATCATGCCACTTCTTCTTAATTTTAAATGCAAAAGTTTCAAAGCCAATGAACCATGATAAGGGGTTGGGTTCAACTTTAAATGACCTAATCACAAACTGATACATTGTTGACACCGCCGGAAACAGCACAACCAAGTCTCAATTTTTTCAACTGTTTTAAAGCGTGGCAAAAAACCTGAATAGATCAGATATGCATATATTGTTACTTATGATCCTACAAGGCAAAAGGAAGAAAAAAATTATTTATTTATGGTCCGTAGCTATTTTACCTGTGTAATACAGGAGGTAGTGTCGAAAAACCTACTTAAAGGATAAGATTTATATATTATATACACAGTAACTTACCATCCTACAAAGCATTGGTGATGGAGGTAGAGGTGACAAGGCCTGAACCAAAGGACTGAAAATCCAAGGAAATTTATTACTCTCACTAGACTCTTCTTCTTCCTCTTCTTTATTTTCCTCATCCACATTTTCTGAAAGATGACATTTCTTATCAAAAACATATTACAACAAGATTAATCTACTAGATATGTGTTCAGTTCTAAAACCAATAATAGAATTTTTCTAATGCAATCTGTGACTACTCATATAAGGCAATATATAGCAGTGCTCAAGCTAGAAATTGAAAGTTTCTGTGTGTATTCATTGTGGCTTTTTATCACATGTTCACATTGTGTATAACTGTATATGAAGATAACAAAGATTGCATAAGTTGTTGTTGATTATTTATCATATTATAAAAACTGCAAAACATGACTTTACATTGTTTATAATTGTGCCAGAAACTTGCTCACTGAGTAGGTTAAGTAGCCCAACATTCCTGTCCTTATAATTAGCTTATGGAGTGTATATGCTACGGAAAAGAGAAAATGTTTTGAAATCAAAAATAAAGAATTGCAAAAATTGGGCAAAAAAAATGAAGAAGACAGAATAATGGGTGTTTATTTGTACAGAATAGAGAACATTTGTATAAAAATAAAGAATTCAGAAAATGATGACCCAGGCCTTCTCACCCAACCCACTACCAAGACCTTCTTAACTTTGCACTATAACTTAAAAGACCTTCTAAACCTACAAGTCCTAAAGTCAGAAGTCAGAAGTATGAAGACAGATCTTGAGCAGGTATTTCAAAACTAGGAAAAATCATAATTGAGTTATCTTTCTTGTATTCAGGAGTGTCGGTAATAAAACTTTACTCCGTACTCGGAGTACAAAATTTGTGCTCGAAACACCAAATACAGTATTTTGATTGGTTGATTTCTGAGTCTGAGTACTATAATCGTGCTCGAAATTTTTATGACCGCAAGGCCTTGTGTGCTCTTACTTCTTCGGAGGATTATACACAGTAGAAGTGAATACAACCAATGGTCTTCGTTTTGTTATTTTTAAAAATATCAAAAGTGAGGGCAGAGAAAGACTAAATATATGTCAGATTTTACATTTTAACGGAATTCTAATAAACAATGTTTTTTTTTAAATAAGTTCATTTTGGTTTTCGACTTTCTGTCAATTACTGTATGTTTTCATCATGAAACTTCAGTAAAAGTTGCAAATTGTGTGATCATATGAAATTTTTATATTTTCTATGTAATAGAGTTAATACAATTCCTAAATTTCCCAGTAAAAATATCTTATTTTATTTAACTTTAGCATAAATTATGATAACAAATTAGATAACACTTTCATCGACCTACTCTCCAACTTATTTACGATTTGTCAAAAATTCTATCTTTCATCTCGAATAACTTAGAGCCCTCTATCCATTATCATTTCTCGAGGAATGGAGTGATCATAGCGAGCGGAATATAATGATTGTATTATTCGGGTTATCTATCTTTTTGATAAATTACGTTTATAAAACTCCCTAAATTTTCTGCTAATAAATTGTTCTTAAATTTTCAATTGAGCTTTTATTCTATCCCCAAATTAGATAGATAAAAATTTAATGTTGAAGAAACCAGAGATGCAAAATCAAATTGTGCCACAGTTACAAAAAGTTATTTTAAGCTCTCGAAGCCATTTTTAGATCTGTCAAAGGTCACGATCACAATGGTCACTTTGTACATTATGTTACTTCCTTAAAATAATGATCAGATTTTTGAATTAGTCAAATAAAAATTGTACATGGTAAAAAACTATCAAATTTTAAGTTGAAGGACTTCGCCAAAACGGCACATTGGCATTTTGGAACAGGGCAGAATGGCACGGCTAAGGACACCAAGGGCATGGCCACCTTCTATTTTTGGATAACAAGACCACTGAAGAATCTCAGTCAATATTCTGAAGTACATATACAGGCAAGACACTTAAAGTGACATAATTATGGAACCACCAACCAAAAATTGTTAAATTTACATTCAACCAATGTTGGAAACTTCATATTTGTCTATAAACAACATACTTGAAATGTGTCAAATTCAAACATAACATTTTTGTTCAATATTTAGTGGTTCTTATTAACATTCTGTTAAAACATAAAATGATCTAACTGCACAAAACTTTGACAAGATGTTAAACAGAAACTTCGTATTTGTCTATTTCCCAAGTAATATGATGGCACAACTCTGGAACTACAAATCAAAAGCCATCAATGTATACACTCACAGTGGTTGCTAACATTATGTTAAAGAAGAGTGTACACACTGACCTATTGATTAAAACATATAGCATCTGAGAAACAGACTTAATCACAGGGAAACTATCTCCCCCACCCCTATGTAAATCCACACTTATTCAAAACATTATAATAGGAACTAGGACACAATGGGTAAATGTACTGATCAGACGACTAAACTGGTATCTAAAGATCTAAGACAGAGCTAAATCATGTCGTTAGTGAGACTAAACTGGTATCTGAAGATCTAAGACAGAGCCAAAACATGTCATTAGTGATTCAATAAACAGACACATTACACTAGTCCATCAATTATTGACAGTGGTGGTAAAAATTATGAAAGGTCCATTTCAGTCAAATTTGAAATGCACATTTTGATGCAAAATTTGGTAAAAGTTAGTAAAATTGCTGCTGACGTCTTGACCATAAAAACAAACAAATAGTGTTTTATGGCTGTTCAAAGTCAGATTCATCTCTAGGATATTGAAAGGGCCTGCCAACAAGACAACATTAGAAATGGCATTTTTAATAAACTGCTTCGCTGAGCGCAGCTGGATATAAAATTGAGAATGGAAATGGGGAATGTGTCAGAGACAACAACCCGACCATAGAACAGACAACAGCCGAAGGCCACTAATGGGTCTTCAATGCAGCGAGAAACTCCGGCACCCGGAGGCATCCTTCAGCTGGCCCCTAAACAAATATGTATACTAGTTCAGTGATAATGGACATGCCTGCAGAGGTCCAACCCCGAACAGTTGGGGCAAAAATGGACACAATATTCAAGCTTGATACAGGTCTGAATTTAGATTGTAATAAATATTTGACATATTATAGGTTTCTGAATAAATGTAGTCAAAGAACTTGAAATTGGTTATATGAAATCAATTTATATTCAATTAAAGATTTCTTGCTGTTGTGCAATACACTGTGCTGTTGCGCAATATTTAGTAAATCTGTTGTCAGGCTATAAACAAATAAAGTTCAATTAATTCTCAATGTCATATTAGAAATTTATGAAAATGTAAAGGGAGCTTACATCAATAGATATAAAAAATTCACCAAAGTTTCATGAGAATTGCTGACAGCATTTCTGCGTTATTGTTCGAAAAATGGAAAATCCCCCCTTTTTTAATGAATTAAACCCCATAACTCAGAAACGTAAAATGTAAAATTTATAAAATTCTAAACGGAGCTTACATCAATAGATATAAACAATTCACCAAAGTTTCATACGAACTACTGAAAGCATTTTTGATTTTTTGTCCGAAAACTGGAAAATCACCTTTTTTTATGAATAAAACCCTGTAACTCGGAAACGTAAATCTAAAAGATATAAAAATCGAAAGGGAGCTCGAAAACTGGAAAATCCTCTTTTTTTATGAATAAAACCCTGTAACTTGGAAACGTAAAATCTAAAATATGTAAAAATCGAAAGGGAGCTCATGTCAATAGATGTAAACAATTCACCACAATTTCTTGCAAGTTGGTGAAAGCGTTTTTGAGTTAATGTCTGAAATGATGTTGACTGACGGACAACAGTATACCATAATACGTCCCGTAAACGGTTGTATAAAAAGTCTATGCATTAATCATATATGAAGCTCCACAAGGGGGGCTACCCCCCTAAATCCACCTCTGAAAGTTACAGTGAGACCTTCAAAAAGGAGCAAAAACTCACACCTCACTGCATTTTAAGATGGCCCCTCAAATCAGTTTTAGTTGAATTCTATGCTATTTGTTAATCAAGCTACATCTGTGCATTCAAGAACACATGTGCAGGGTAATATCAACAATCTTTAATCATACTGGGCAAACAAAGTTTAAGTCTTATCAAATTACAAAATCACTATACCTTCTTCATCTTGTGAGACTGAGAAGTCTCCATGTTCTGTCAGAGGTTTCTTTTCTCCCTTTGGTAACAATCCTGTTAATATAACAAAAAACCTTGTACTGCTCATCTGTATCAATGTCAACAATTACTACTATCAAAAAAATCATTTTCCAGATTCAAGATTTGCCTATAGTGAACATATTTTAGTTGTCCAGTGAATGAGAAAGTTTTATGAAAGACCTAAAACATACATTATTCCTTTCAAACTTGTAGCAGATTAGCCATAGTGATACGTTTTCAGAGAGGAAGATGTAAACTGGTTTATTTCCATAGAGTTTGAATTTTCCCATGTTAAGGTTTTCACTTCTGACAATTTTCTTGTCCCTGATTCTGGTCTTCACCATCACTGGGATATTTTTGGGATAGAAACTTATCACAAAATTAGTGAAATTATTCCAATATCACAAGGACCAGGAGTATGAGCTATGGTTCAGCAGTAAGGATTATCCATGCAGTTTCAGAGAATGAAATAGAAAATGTTATTTCCTATGGGTTCAGTGGGAACCTATGAGACATCATAGCTGCTATGCATGCTACCCCATTTCACAAAATGAAGTAACTTTGTAATGGGTTTCCCAATAATCATTCCTATAAAGCTTGAAAAGGTTTGGTTTTGTAGTTTCAGAGAAGAAACAGATGAATTACCTCTTGTAGCCATGATTTTTGTACCATAAGAAAATGAAACGAGGACATTTTTTATTAAGGGCCTTGCATACATTATTCTTGGTATAGATTAGAAATGCAGTTTCATAAAAAGGGCTAAAATTTAGATTTCCAATAGATTTCAATCACTGGAAACCTATGTGGAATCATTGCTTTTATGTACACCACCTAATCAACCTATTAGACAGAGCAATCTAGTAAAGAGTCTCAAAATCATTATTCCTATGTACAATTCAAAATCAAGAATATATGATTTTAAAGCGTATATTGGTTCTAAATCTTACCATTTAGTCTCAGTATCCCCCAGTATCTTTCCACTTTATCCTATAATAAAAACAAAATCTGTCAAAGACTTTGCATTCAATTACATAAGATTATGTAGATGAATATTTCCTATCTAGAGATGATAAATTACACTCACACAAAAAAAGAATAATTCAATAAAGCTAAATTTTATTTATCTTAAGTGTTAAATCACAAAAACACATATAAGGTGTAAATAATTCTGCTACCACAATAATAGATTATTTTTCTTATATAAATCAACTCATCATAGATACCAGATAAAAGTTATTTTCAGTACTCACAGCAAGCCTTTTCATTTTCTCTTCCAGTCTTCTTTGTTTTCTCAACTGATTTGAACCATCTGATTTTAAATTCTTGTTTTCATCTGAAGAAATATTTTTTGTTACAAAATTATGCAAATCTAAAACATTTTTAAAGTTTACATGCACATATCCTTTATCATAATTCATTAACCCTTCAAGTACCTCTAATGAAATACAGGAAACCAAGGCAATGCTGTCTATTTTGATATGCTCCCCTGTATGAAGTGTATCACCATGTGACAACTGATAAAGATTGTCTCTTCTCTAACCCATAATCATTTAAATCATGTAGTGCAGGTAAGAAGATTAAATGAACTATGTCAGAAATTGAAATATATGAACTATAGAATACCTTGAACAAGTTGTGTTTATTATAAGGATGTGTTTACCGAACCTAAACAGTAAAATTATATAGCTTTAATATCAGAGTAATAATAATTCAACAACTAAAATACAGGTAGGAAGTTTAAACATTTACCTAATTTCACTTATACTTTACAATAATGTTAATGAATAAATTAAATGGGAATAAATGACAGTTAGACAGCAACTAAACAACACAGTATAACCATAAATAGACATAAATATGTCACAATACAGTCTTCAATAAAATACAAGTGACCATACTCTATGGCAAGTTATAAAAACAGTCCTAAGTCTAAATAGTTTCCCAGGCATCAACTTAAATGTCCACAATCACTGACCCTGTATTTTATTTATCAGAAAAGTATTCAGCTATAGATCAATTGCCTCAAGGGGAAAATATCAAAATGTATAAAAATGTTTACAGATAATTTATCAGAGCATGGTTCTTCAATTAATTTAGCCATAAACATTGCCAAATCTCATATTTAACCACTAACAGATAAACATCAACATTCTGTATAACTATGTACATGATCAAAAAATGTACATGATCAAAAAACTTTCACATGTGTATACACTATGATAGTAGATTAATTATTTCTGAATTAATTATTATTTTCTGCTTATTTTACAGTAGATTTCTATTTTTTTTTTCAGAACAATTATACCTTTCCTATGAAATTATGAAGATGGAATTACCAGTTTTAGGCCTTTTTACTTTTATTATTTGTTTAACATCCCAATCAGCCATGGGGGAAGAAGCAACAGACTTGTTAACAATAGAACCAGTTGTTTTAGCTAAACAAGTTGGTCAATCAGCAGAGTTTGTTTGTTCAAATAACTCAGCAATCAATTCAGATATAGTATGGATGTATATCAATGAAACCCTCATTCCACAAGTCAGAGCTAATGTTAACATTGTAACAGAAAATACTTTACACATAGAGTCAGCTGTGGTAACAGATCAAGGAGAATACATCTGTACAACTAAAATGAGAGAGTTTAATGCCACTGCTGAGCTCAAGGTTTACACCATGCCAACATACTTTACTGAAGGAATGATTGTAATAGGAATTAATGCAGCTTTACTTGTTATATTTTTCATGTGTTTTGCATATCATACAGTGAAAAATCGTCGAAATAATTCTAAAATTAAAAGAAATGCTTTATAGATGGATGTTTTCATCAGTTAACTATTTACTGGCACCATGCAATAGAGTCTTCCTTCCTGATACCTTTCTCAAGAGAAATGGCATTAACTTGTACTAAATGACAATTCTTCACTATCAAAAATTACTTTCTGAAAAAAGGATATAGCCATACATGTGGAAAAAACGTTTTAAAAAATCACTGTGATGTAAGCTTGTATACCACATTTGTAGTCAAGAACATACCCATCAGTATAATCCTTATTGTATACTGTACTTATATATAACAAAATTATCAAATAACTCTTAGTCTTGTGATCAATTGGAAATTATTTCCCTACCACTTTAAATTTGTAATTTCAAGAGTAAAATGATTCTACTTTTATATTTTTTCATCATTTGTTCATCTTTTATTCATGACTTCTACACATTCTAAAATCTTCCACTGAGTCAAATATTCCATACATTTTTCATCAAATATGATTAAAGCTACCTCTTGCTTGTGTATGAGGTGTAGACATGGAAAGATTTTGCCATGGAATGTGAAAGAATAGTAATTGAAATTTTCTACCTGCATATCTTCTTACAGAAGTTCGAAATGATCTATGATACCAGAATGAGTCTTTTTAAGAAGCTTTGTAATACAACATATTGTATTTATATATCCTGTAATCATGGTAATGTTCAATCTTTATTTTACATGCTTCCACTTTAATATATGTAAACAGGAAAGATAATGTCCTTGTACATTCTCAATAAGTTAGGTCATATAAGCTTTAATTGTTTATTTATATATAATTTGTTTATGCACAAACTGGTAATATTTTTGACTTCAGGACTGGTTCAACAATTCTAAAATACTTTCTGAGGATTTTGCAGCATATATTTTTTTAAATCATTATAAAAATTTATTCTTCTCTTGATATTTTTGTAATATACAGTTGAAAAAAACCTGCATAATTTTTATTGATTAAACTTACATTTTTTATTAAACAAAATCAATATTGTTTATAGATTTTCATCTTTATGCATGTCTTTTTATCATGGTCTAAATGTTAATTTAGAAGGAAAACTTGTCATTTTAAACATTATTGTTTTCTGTTCCAATCTAGATTACATTTTACACAAATATTAAACAGAAATAAAGATATATATATTTAAATAAGTTTGGTAGTTGTATTCATTATTGCATCTATGAGTAGCTTCATGGTATAGAGTTATGTTTATGTGAACTTCTTATGTATGTACAATCACTTCAGCTCTGATTTGGAAGTTAAATCATGGCAGCTTGGGCCTGTACTGGTCTCTCTGCATTCAAACTTTTGGCCATGAACAGTTTGGGCCCGTGCCGGTCTCTCTGCTTTTCAACTTTTGGCCATGAGCAGCTCGGGCCCGTGCTGGTCTCTATGCTTTCAAACTTTTGGTCATGATCAGTTTGGGCCCATGCTGGTCTCGCAGCTTGCAAACTTTTGGCCATGAGCAGTTTGGGCCTGTGCTGGTCTCTCTGCTTTCAAACTTTTGGCCATGAGCAGCTTGGGCTTGTGCTGGTCTCTCTGCATTGAAACTTTTGGCCATGAGCAGCTTGGGCCCCTGCTGGTCTCTCTGCATTCAAACTTTTAGCCATGAGCAGCTTGCATCCCTGACAGTCTCTCTGCATCCAAACTTTGGCCATGTGCAGCTTGGGCCCCTGCTGGTCTCTCTGCATTCAAACTTTTAGCCATGAGCATCTTGGGTTCCTGACAGTCTCTCTGCATCCAAACTTTGGCCATGTGCAGCTTAGGCCTGTGCCGGTCTCTCAGCATTCAAACTTTCAGTCATGAGTAGCTTGAGCCCGTGCCAATCTATCTGCATTCAAACTTTTGGTCATGAGTAGCTTATGCCCGTGCCGGTCTATCTGCATTCAAACTTTTGGCCATGAGCATACCTGATGAAAGTTATTCCAGAAACATGTTTTGGCATCATACATTATATAAAAAAATCTAGCCAATCAACAACTAGAGATGATCTTTTGATCAGCCTTCATATATGTCTTTTTTTCAAATGAGATTCAAATAACTGTTTCATGCAACCCACCTTCAGGTGACACACTTCACAGATCCTACCAACAAATGTTCTTTTAATAAATATGCATGAAATATTTGCCAACTGATGTAAAACAAAACAAAAAGTTGCATGTGGCTGAGACTAATTTTTAAGTGTAAAAACAGTGTAAGACCTTCAATGAAGAAGGTCATATGGGTTACGTCCTTCCAGATAAAAACACACAAGCTACTGTGCAATATATGTTATACATTACAATCAACACAAGAGGGCACACATTGAAATGCTTAACTAACCATGATTGGTTTTATGTTGATAGTTCTTAAGATAAAGTTTTATTATAAGTTTCACATAAACTTAAAATTATCAAAGATCCATGAAAATAAGGTCAAGGTCAGATAAACCCTGCCAGACAGACATGTACACCTTACAATCATATCATACACCAAACATATTGACCTATTGGCCCCAGACCATAATTAATAATCCCGCTTTACGTTGTCCACGAATATAGTTCCCTTTAATTAAAGTGTATTTTTTCTTTATTTTTTTTCTTTCCTTTTCTCATACATTTCTTAGTTTTTATAAGGTGGAAATGAAAGAAGAGAGCTGAAATAAATTTTTGGAAGTTTTATTTCAACTGATTTTGATATGGAAATAGCGATTAGGCCAGGTGCAATAAATTGCTTCGCTGAGCGCAGCTGGATACGACCGCAGATGTCCAACCCTGAAAAGTTGGGCCAAAATGGACACAATATTCACGCTTGATACAGGTCTGAATTTGGATTGTAACTAAATTTTTGACACAGAATAACTGTAGTCAAAGAACTTCAAATTGGTTATATGATTTGAATTTATATTCAATTTATTGCTTTTGTGCAATACACTATGCTGTTGCGAATTGACTCCCCCCCCCTCCTCTACCAAAACAAAAATATTTTACCCCAGTTTTTTGCTTTTGTGCAATACACTATGCTGTTGAATATTAACCCCCCAAAAAAGATATTTAAAGAAATTTTCTTTTAATTTCTGAAATCTGAAATGAGAAAAATTGCCCCCCCTCCAATTTTTTTCACCTCCCCCCTTTCCCTTATTCCCCAAAAAAAATCTTTCCCTCAAGATATGGTCAGTATCTCAATTCAAATTTCTAATGCAGTTTGCAACCAAAATTACCCATTTAAATACATCATAAAAGTTTTAAAATATAAAATGACATACATAGTCATGGCTAAAATTAATATTAATTAATAGTAACTGCTAAAAATAAATTGACAGCTAATCACCTCAATACAATCATCATTTCTTAATACATAATTTACAAGCAGTGTAAGGGAGGTAATCAAGCTGTTCTTTAATTTGAATTGGATTACCTCCCTTACACTGCTTTTAAATTGTCTCAATTGTCCTTTAACCAGAAAACCCTTGTTTTTCCCCTTTTTTTGCCCCTAATTACTAAATGGTTTGAGCCATAACTCCCCAAAGTCAATCCTAACCATCCCTTTGTTGTATGGAAGTTTGTGGTATAATTTCAGAGAGATTCATACACTTTAACACAAGTTATTGTCTGGAAACTACAAAAATGCTTATTTGGGCCCCTTTTTTGGCCCCTAATTCCTAAACAGTTGGGACCATAACCCCCAAAATCAATCCCAACCTTCCTTTAGTGGTTATAAACCTTGTGTTAAAATTTTATTGATTTCTATTTACTTATACTAAATTTATTATCCGGAAACCGTCTGTCTTCGGACGACGCTGACGACGACGACAACATGATACCAATATACGAACAAAATTTTTTTTATTTTTGCGGTCGTATAAAAAGGTAACATTTACAGTTTTCGGAACATCTCTTGACTTGTCCATAGGGGTATGGATGTGTATTGGCTAAATTTGTAAGATGTAAACATTCAATTTTTCTGAAACTTGGATATATTTTTGGACTTGTACTGTACATTACACACACAAAAGATTTGACAAAAATACAGGTAATTTTTTTTAAAGCGACAAAACATTATAAAGAACTAATAGGTGGAATTAATTCTGGTCTGTGGCCTAAGAGGTGCATTTCAGCAAATTTTGAATTTGTACTTTGACAACTTCTCTGAATGATCTATTGGAATTAATTTGTCAAACTACATGAGAATAAATGATTTCCACCTTTATTAGATAGAAATTTTGTAAAAAAGTCACTTTTCAGCTAATATGCTCAAAATGTAGCTTTTTCACTTGTTTCAATATTTTTACAAAAGTAGCATGCTTACTTTCTCTCTGACACATTTTTATGATTTTCTATTTGTCATTGTGGTATTTAATTTAGATGTTTTACTCAATTAGGAACTCTGAACAGAAAGAAAAGTAGATAAAAACATACAAAGTGTGCAAAATGTGCTGTTTTAATGGTCAAAGTCTAACAGTCCGTACGAAGCAAGTGAAATGTGAGGTTCTATGCACATAAAAGTTGAATTCCTTTCAACAGATTTCACTGAATCTGTATCAAAAGCACTTATTACTAGTTGTTTTACTGAGTACCTTTAATTTCTTCTGTTGGATAGCTAGTGGTTAAAATATTGGCCTTTTGAGGCTGAAATTTCATGCAGGTTTTAAACAGTAAAGTGAATAAACTTTGCATCAGACCATACTGTCTACATATATAGTTGAAAGCAACAGTCTTGTTTTATCCAGGCTTCATGTTTCATCATATCTAAGCAAGGATTTGAGCAAAAAGAAGCATATTTCCATCTCCCATATCATTTATATACTTTTTAATATGGAAATAAGGGGAATGACCTAAACTGACAACTTGTTTTTTTAAGCTTGACATTGCTTAAGACCATGTCATCCTCATGTGTTATGCTATTTGAAACTTATATTTCCATGAAAAGTACATTTATGATATGCAGAAGGTTTTTTTTTAACTTAACAACTTCAGAAAATTGTTGTAAGTGGAAAATATTACATTTCATATAAGGCCTCGCTTCATTTGAAAACCTCTATTTTTTGGCACAGGCTCATATAAGATTAACTGTTTGCCAATTTTTATAAGTCTGATACATTCAGTATACTATCTATTACTTTAAATAAATAATATCTTATACATAGAGACATTAAAAAGTGCACATTTTTGTTTTTTGTTTGTTTTTGAAGCCAAACTTTGATAGTTGAAATTGTTCTTTTTCAACGTCACAATTCAGCAACCAAAGATCAGATATAAAAAAGGCCACATTTTCTATGATTGATATCATATGGCTTTGAAACTGGGTAAACTGTCTCACAATACTCTAAGCTTAAATCATGCCAAGTTTTATTGGAATTGGTCAAGTTCTTGACCCCTGATAGGCCCCAGACCACAATTAATGATCCCGCTTTTCGTTGTCCACGAATATAGTTCCCTTTAATTAAAGTGTGTGTATTTTTTCTTTATTTTTTTCTTTCCTTTTCTCATATATTTCTTAGTTTTTATAAGGTGGAAATGAAAGAAGAGAGCTGAAATAAAATTTTGGATGTTTCATTTTAACTGAATTTGATATGGAAAGAGTGATTAGGCCAGGTGCAAAAAGGTAACATTTACAGTTTTCGGAACATCTCTTGACTTGTCCATAGGGGTATGGATGTGTATTGGCTAAATTTGTAAGATGTAAACATTCAATTTTTCTGAAACTTGGATATATTTTTGGACTTATACTGTACATTACACACACAAAATATTTGACAAAAAAAAAACAGGTAAATTTTTTTTAATGCGACAAAACGTTATATAGAACATGAAGAACTAATAGGGGGAATTAATTGTGGTCTGTGGCCTAAGATTGCTTATAGTATACAAGAAACAGACAAAACCATGAAAACTTAACAATGACCATAAACCATGAAAATGAGGTCAAGGACAAATGAAACCTGCCAGACAGACATTTAAAACTTATAATCATGCCTTTGACCAAATATAATTGACCTATTGCTTATAGTATTAAAAAAGACCAAAACACAATAACTTAACATAGATCACTGATCCATGAAATGAGGTCGAGGTCAAGTGAATCCTATTTGACGGACATGTAGTCTTTGCAAGGAACTTATATACCAAATATAGTTATCCTATTACTTATAATAAATGAGGATTTCACACAAC